ATGGGGAGAGGCGAGTCCCCTTCGGAACAATAGTCTGCTGGCACCAGGCACAATCACCTCTCCCGGGGTCCTGAGGACAGTCCCCCAGCAACAGAGGAGGTGAATGCACCGTCTCCGAATCCTTGACAGGCCCCAGGAAATATTGCAGGAATCGCCGAAACTACGAACAAGGAGTCGGGACACCAAGACATCTGGCGAGATGAAGAGTTTATTGGTACTGACACCGGCTCAGCGGATTCACATCCAAAGGCTGAGCCCCAAGCACAGCAGGGCCCTGAGGGAGTACACTGCTACATTTCTACCTCAAGCACCCTGTTATTCCTCTACATTCCTGAAGCCTTAAGAAAACATTGTCCCTTTTCTTGGCTTCCTACCTCAGAATGGGAGTCAGGCTAGTTGGGAAAAAAAAGTGAATTTGTCTCAGAAAGCCTGGATTTGTATCTGGGTTCTGCCACAATTCTGCTACATATATACTATGGTCATTATTATATGTCAACTTAAAATATGTTTATCTGAATTACAAAATGATTATTTTAACCTCTAAGCAAATTGTAAAAGCATGTAATTTTGTGCAAGTACTTCAAGAATCAAGAGAGTTAGACTACCTACTATTCTAGACTCCTAGGAGCACTCTCATATTTCCTACCAAATGATCATATCACTTTGACACTTTTTAAAGAATTTTATTTTTTGAGTCACTGATTTTGCTAAATTTCCACTTTGCAAATTGTAATGAAGAGAAACTAATAAACACCGTGGATACATGTGTCTCATCTTTATTGTGGTTGATAATCTCACTTGAGATAGTAAGACTGGCTTTGTAGATCACAGCTATGGCCTGAACTGTGTCCCCCTAAAATTCTTATGTTGGAATCCTGAGCCCTTATATGACCATATGGAAGACAGGGCGTTTAAGGAGGTGATGGGGTTAAATGAAGCCATAAGGGTGGAGCCCTGACTCAATGGTACTGAAAAAACATCAGAAACATCAGATCTCTCTCTCTCTCCCTGTCCCTCTCTCTCTCTCTCTCTCTCTCTCTCTCTCTCTCTCTCTCTCTCCCCCCCCACCCCCCACCATGTGAAGGGCACAGAGAAACAGGGTTGTCTGCAGGCAGGAAGGAAATCTCACAAGGAATGGAATCCTGCCAGAACCTTGATCTCCGGCTCTCCAGCATCATGAGAAAATAACTCTCTTTTGTTTAAGCTGCCGATTATATGTTATTTTGTTGTGGCAGCCTGAGCAGTTCTAAGACAACCACTGAGTGTGGCAGGATAAAAGAAGGGCTACAAAATATGAACAGTCTGAGAAAACTTGTTCTAAGACAAAATTACTATCTTGAGAATACATTGTATCTGAGTGTTCAGGAGTATTTCGGGGTTCTGTTCCCTCCCTCCCTCGTTTCCTCCCTTCTTCCCCCCTCCCTCCCCCCTCCCTTCTTTCTTTCCTTCTTTCCTTTCTTCTTTTCAATGTATCTCCCTCTCACCTCCTCCCTGGTTTTCTTTTTAACACATTAAGGAATCATTTGGGGAAGACTTCAAAAAACAGATCCCTGGGCCACAGCCTCAGGGATTTTGACTCAGTAGTCTTGGGAAGGGCCTGGTTTTGTTGGTGGTGGTTTTATATTCCCCAGATAACTCTGACCCATGGCTAGTTTAGAAACCACTGCACCAGGGAAACACCTCAGAAATAACAGAGGTAATGAATGGAGTCCCTTTCTCTCATGTTTTCTCCTTCTCCCCCCAAACCTGCCTATCCCCATGCACCCCTTTTCTTATAAGTGAAATGTGTTTAAACTATTCAGAGTGTGGATTTGGAATCAGTGTGTAGAAATTTTCAATGCACAAGAAACTTGCGGCTCTCTAGTCAAACAATTGGATGGTACATCCTAGGGCAGGACAAAAACCTCAGGAAGCCACTGAATCAATTATGTCTGCTCAACCCATCTCCCACAGGTTTTTAAATACTCAGATTCAAAATGCACTTCTGGATTAGTTTATTCTATAAGGCTCAGCCATACGACCTCCTTTACCAAATGGAATGTAAGCAGAAGGGACAGTTTCTATAATTAAGTAAAAGCTTAAAAGCCATCGTGATATTCCACCATTATTCTTCCCTCTGCCTAGCAAGGGTCCAGCCCCATCACCCATCACCTTGGCTCCTAAAATGAACCTGTAGGGTGGGCCTGCAGCCAATCCACAGCTAACAGGGATACTGTGGACCAGGTGTTAATTTTTGCTATAGTAAGCCATTCCACTTTGGGAGTTACGCTTTGTTCCCACAGCGTGACTTGCTAAAAGCTGACCAGTGCAGAAATGTGCGTACAGACATTGCATACTCTCCCTCTGGCCTTTGGCTCACCACAGATACAGGATGCAATCTGAAGCTCATTCTTTGAAAGCAAAGTAAAAGAGAAGAACAAGAACTAAATTCTAGGATGATGGGGATTATTTGATGGGATAACATATGGAGAGCCCCTAGGATTTTGTGAGCTCAATACAAGTGTGAACTCCACTCCACCACAATTCCTTCCCTTCCCATTTCATTCCCATTTCCACAGTGGAGGGAGGTCTACTAGGGTCCCGACTGTTCTCTATCCTGGTTAAGATGAACGAGTCATGCACAGTCCCCACCTTAAGCAGCTTGCTGTCTACCTCCTAGCAGGAATGGCAGCAAGTGCAGGCTTGCTTCCTCATATACAACAGGCAGGTTTCTGGCATCCAAGTGGAAAGCTAACAAATGTGATTCTGATGTGACTTGGGAATGGACATAAGCATTGCTTGTCATTTGTCCCACTCCCCCCAGCTACAACGACCCCTCCTCCTGCACACACACAGCCATGGCCCCTGCCCCCAGCTGTTGCTCCTTGGTCCTCAGGGCTGGGCTAAATTGCTCTTTGGAGTTCTCACAGTTCCCTGTACATCCCCCATCTTCCAACTACTACTTTGTACTGGGTTTACTAGTCCAAATCAGCCCTTGCACGAGATTCTAATGTTTATCAGAGAATAAACTCTGTCTTCTCCATTGTATTTCTAGAAGTTGGTTCATGCCTGGTACAGGGTGTTTATCAACATTTTCTGAATGAATGAATTTGATTAACTAATTCCTTCATAATGACTTCTGAGTTCTCACTGCATTTTGATGAATTTGATATGCCAGGTGCCCGGGGCTCCACTCAATCTTTATATTTTTTTAATATCTGACAAGGAATTCACCATTATGAAATCAGCGTGTGATTTGCATATACTTCTTAAAGCATTCATAGAACCCTATGGAAATTCAAATGGGCAATCCACAAACTGAATTACCATATCCTAACTAAGCGATGTTCACTTTCATTAAAACTGGTACAATATATTCTGGAAGAAACTAATCAATATATCTCAGAAGTTAAAATACATCCCAGAATAACCATGAACCCCGTGAAGCTGAAATCCACCAAGGCCAAGCTACTCTGAGATGTGTTCAGGATAGTTTTCAAACGTATATCTGATGCCATAGTTGCTTACACTTTAATAATGAAAGCATAGGATAAACTAATTCCCTAAAAAAACAACAGAATGAACTCAGATTTCTTTTGTCTTTTGGAAGGGCTCCAGAGTAGCTTCCTCATATACAACAGGCAGGTTTCTGGCATCCAAGTGGAAAGCTAACAAATGTGAGTACGACCATGTCCTTATTTACTCCTGGGGTATCTAAAAAACTTTAATCCTGTGAGGTTCTTTTATAAAATAAGGAAGGACTCTTGTTCTGTTTACTTTTGCATAGCATCTCTATCATCAAACACATTTCAAAACGATGACTCGGAAGCAGCATCTTTCTTTGGTAGGAAAACATCCTTCCACTGCACCCTCCTGCTAAGCTTTAGTGCACGTAAGCCTTTTCTCTTAGTGCAACAGGATTAGCAGAAGCAAAGCACAATTCAAGACGCTGCTTTACCAACTTTCCTTTCTCTTCCTCAGCGAAATTCCCCTGCTGATCCTGAGAGGCCCTCCAGAAGGCAAGGAGAAGGGCACGCATGCTTGCCTTCCAAAGTGAAGAAGAATTTCATCTGTGTTAAAATTGCCAAGCTATCAGAACAAAAAAAAAAAAAAAAAGCCTTCTCAACTCAGCCTTAAGGCCAGTGTGAGGCAATGTTTTGGGAAACTTACAGGAGTTGCCTACAGAGGTTCCAAGGTCCTTGCAGCTCAAAGATTGTACCAGCCTGTCTAAAGATCATATTATCTGCATAAGATTTTTTATTTTATTTTATGGCTTCCCCATCTTTCCTCCCCATCTGTCAGGCTTGTTCAAATGATCTGTTTTGTTTTGTTTTGTTCAACGACATATCGAGAAATCAGTCTCCATAAAGCTTCAAGGTTTCACCGCCACCCAAGCTCCCAGCAGGGAGTAACCAACCAGTCCTCAGGAAGCGTCCTGCGACAGTGCCAGGGCTCTGTAACTTCTCAGGCCACCGTCTCTGGCCTTGCAGCAGGTGAAACAAGAAAGAAAGAGCACAAAGCCCTCTGCCAACCTGAAATTCGGCTCTAACTCCCCCAGCCTAAACACAGAAGGCGTTTCTCTCTTCTCTGCTTTCCCCATCTCTCGGTCCCCTTCCCCTCTTCCCCACCCCATTATTCTCCACTTCTTTCTCATTCCCTTTCGCCCATCCATTTCCTTAAAGCATCCTGTGATGTTCCCCTGGAGAAAGCTGAGTACTTCACCTCCAGAGCATTTGCCTGGAGGAGCCCCAGAGAGGCAAAGTCCAAACCTGGCATCTATTTCTTTCCTATCTCCCCAGCCCAGCTGAGCCACAGAAGAAGGGAGTGGGGTCTGCCTCCTTGCACCGACTGCCCCTGGTCTGCCTGGGCTGCCGCCAGCAAAGGGCTCAGAGGGGCCCCTTGTCCACTCCTACAACCCCATAAACCAGTTTTGTAGCGTGTGCAGCGGCGCCCTCTAGTGTTTGCAACCGGGAGCCCTGAGGGCGCCATCAGCTCCAGAATTTCTCTTTCGCAGCCGAAGCAAGACCTGAAACACCTCGGCGCTCCGACCCCCAAGTTCTCCTCCACCGCCCCCTCCGCACGGCACCCCTGCTCACCTTCTCAGCCCGCCCACCCCCTTCTCGGTGCAGTGGTGGCCGGTGGCCGCAGCCTGCCGGTTGGTCCCTAGACCTCCCTGCTCCTGCTGCTGCTCCTGCTCCTCCTCCCGGCTCTCGCTCGCCTCCTCTCCCAGTCGGGGCGCCCAGACTTGGCGAAACGCAGCACCTGCCACCCGCAGCGCTGCGCTCCCGGCTCTGTGTCGCCGCAGCCCAGGGGGCACCGGCGCGGGCCAAGCACCCTCCAGGGGCAGCGCTCGGCGGACCCCAGAGCCAGGTGCTGCGAGAAGTGGTGCTTTGATAAAGCTCGGGAGAAAAAGAGGGTTCGGAGTGAGACTCCTGGAGCCAGCGGGACGCGCCAGTTCGCCCAGTGCGGCGCGGCCGCACGCACCGTCCACCAGGTGAGGGGCGCGCCCGTCCGGGGGCTGCCTCGGCTTCCCCGCTCCCCCCGCCCCAGCCGGGGCTCGAGCTCCGCCGCGGGGAGGTTTGCGCCTGTGAGGAGCAAAGGCTGCGGGCCGCGGCTCGGGAGGGAGACCACTGGGGTCGCTGGGCACTGTGCCTGCGCCCTGGACCTTAGTAAGGAACGCGTTCTTGGTCAAACAGTGCCCCAGATGTGTGCACCAGCTGAGCGTCGACAATGTGTATAACTGTGGTTTAAGAATTTTATCCTGCTTCCTTGCAAAAGGATTTGGGGCGGATTTAGAGCTTAAATAAATGCGGAAAGGATGCTGGGGGAAAAACTTGAGTGGAAATCACGCGGAAATGGGTGTAGTCCGGGCACCGCTGGAGGACGAGGTGATTTCAAAGCCAACGCTAACTGAAAAACCTTTGATTAGAGAGGACTGCACGGTTGCGGCAGCGCTCAGAAAATAATGAGCGTAGTCCTGATAAAGAAAAAAGCCAGGTGAGGAGGTGATGGAGCTGACTCATTTTCTTAAATACAAAATAAAGCTTGAAAGTGCGCTTTAAGACGGGAAGTTAGTCTTAAGATATTTCCACCAATCCTGCAATTCCACCCAATTCTGACCCCCTACGAAGTGAAAACGAAAGGGAATTGATGCTAAATGGATGTGGTTCTTGCTCCTGTCACAGGATCATACATGGTTTTCCATTGTTTAAATATGTATACGTTTGCATGTTTTTGCCTGTGTCGTTTCTCTGTCTGTATTCAACCCTTGAGTTAAATAGCTTGTCCTTGAGTTAAAAGCATAAGGCAGGGGGAGTCAGCATCCTAGGGTGCTTCTGCCTAACCTTCCTCATTGTCCTCTGTCTCCTGCGCCAAATGTCTCCGAGTCCAGGGGGGAATACTAGACGTTCAAATGGGTTGTGGGAGGGGTGTTTTTCCCAAATAATTCAGGGTTCTCCCAGCATTCTTGTTTTACCCCCAGCTCCAAGCAGTGTATGCTCTTGGTCTGAAGTGGATATTGCTCCAGATTATATATTTGTCATTCAGATATTATGTGCATGACCTTAAAACACCCAGGGCGGACTTGAGAATCTGGGGCTTCCCTAACTTACCCTGCTGGTGGGGCAGGAAGCAGAGGCCTGGGTCTGGCCCCAGGTGCAGCCTCTTTCTCTGGGAGCATATTTGAAATGCAAAAAGAAGATTATGAGCTGGCCTTCCTTCTCTTCTGGTGCACTTGTATTCTTGCTGAATTAAATGAGATGACCCAGTCTTCAACAAATAGAGGAATGGAGGTGTTTGTGACCCGCTCAGCAAGTGCAGAAAATATGCCTGCCTGCCTTTTTCCTCCCTTTAGAACTTTAGTCCCAGACCACAGAACTGTGAAAGTGAAGCAATTCTCCTAAGTGGGACTCAGCTCAATGTCTGTATCATGTTGAAGCAAAGGATGCTGCCACCTCTGGAATTGCATAGCACCTCCACAACTAACCATTTGCTGCCTGGAGGTGGGAGTACTTCTGCCTAGATATTTCATCACTAAAGGGCTAAATGCATTCAAATCTTGATGCATTATTGTTGACAGAACTTAACTATTTTGTCATCATCACCCAAAATGGGCTATTGAAACCAAGGATTACTACAGATCTCTGTATAAATGAGACATGTAATGATGGAGCCAGCAAGAAGCTCAAAAATACTGCAGCCAAGACCCTGGTCCTCAGAGCCATGGTATGTCCATATTCCTTTAGACAGTGATTGTCCCTTTCATGAAGATCTCCAAGGGTGAAGCCTTCACAGATTATCTTTATATTAAGAAGTATTCACATTGACCACTTATATTCACCAGTTGGCATTTTTTTTAATTCCACAGAAATCGACCTCACAAACGTAGTGAACTCAAGATTTTATTTTTCACTCCTCTCCTGCACATAGTGATTTTACTCGGGGCGTATTCCTAGGCCAAGTGCTCCTGGACAAGCCACTCCCTTGAGCACATATTAAGACCTGAGCTGTTGTCTCTTTCACAGCTCACCCTGATGCCACCTTTGTTAGCCATTTTGGTATCTTTTCAAAACATTTGCTCCCTGCCTCTCCTTGATGATTCCTGGTCACCCTCAATCATGTAAATATACATTTCTATTCTTTTGAGGATAATAACCAAGTCAGGGTTTCCCAGAGGTGGTATTTATGAAGAGACAAAATCTCCAGTCCAGGTGACACTGTGATATGTTCCCATTCCCTGCTGTTTGATGAGATTGTTATTGGAGAGCAAAGTGAGATATATCAATAGCAGCACCTTGTCCCCCACCTGGCTCAGATTGTTCTCTACCAATATACTACTCCCCCACCACTGAGATCCCAAGGCTTCAAACTGAAAGTAGATCCATTTGCGGAAAACCTCAGTCCCTGACCTGTCTTGTCATCCTCTCATTACTCAAGCATCTGACTTCCTACACCTTAACTTTATACACAGCTCATTTTTTCATGTTTCTGTGGTTCTTCTTAGAATTTTATTTCTGTGCTACACTTTAAAAGATCTAACTCTAATATTGTAATATGAGGAGGTTGTCCCTTTATTTCCATAGGCTTATTTAAGTGAGAAAATGAGCTTGAGGCTCCTCAAGAGGTAAATTTCAAACAAATCGGGATTTATTATTCACACCATCCATTGTCAAGGTCATCTCAGGGTAGAGGCAAATCTGGGCATCTCATGCTTTATTCTTTTTTTGTCCTCCACCTCCTGCATTGTTATACTTGTGAAATCATATCGGCATTTCTTCAGGGAAATACTGAAGATGGGTGTGCTCTGGCAGAGGGAAAGGGGCAGGTGGGACAGTGGCTCTTTGGCACAGCTGCCTTCTTTCTTGTTTTCTCCTCCCTGAGTCATTTTCTAGAACCAGTACTATGGCCCCTAAAGCTTGGGGCCCAGGTGAATCAACTTACCAAAGTCTGTCTTCTTGGGAAAGAAAGGACTTATATCAGTATCACATCTACTTTTTCATAATTGTGTGGATTAAGAAACTGAGAACCAGAAATGATAAAGATCATTCAAGTCAGTTGGGTCTCTTCCTGGATCACAACCAGCTGGCAAAAATCTTTGAGAATTCTATTCCTAATACAGTTTGATTCTAATTTTATTTTGTATTTTTAGTTGTTGTTTTTTTTTTTGTCTTACCCACTGTGAATTACCTGGTTCACAATTATCCTTGTCCTAGTAGATTTAATAGGTTTCAGCGCTTTATTTTATGGCTGTGTTCCCCTAAGATATGCCAAGTGAAAAATAAACATAGGTGGTGAAACACTCGCAATAGGTTCATTGTTAGAGCCTCTCTTGTTGATCAGTTCCCAACACACGCAGTTGTAGGATTAGGAAGACAAAACCCTTTAGAAGAAGCTGTAAGACCCAATGCTTTGACATCTGGATCATTTTAAACTACAAGTAGCAAGAGGAATGAGCATCTTGAGATCCTAGTTATCAGTACAGGCCAGATGGAAGGTCTTTACAAAATCTGGCATGAGAAGGAAAGCATTTTTAGAGCAAGAAGATATTATTTTGAAAAATAGCTGCCAATAGCAGCAACAGCTTGCAGTTCTAAAACTCATATCCTTCTAAGGACCCCACCTACCTATAATGCCTATAATGCCACCTACCTATAAAGTAACCTGGACCCCATGAAATGTCTTTCCTTAGCCATAGCTCTTCTTTATCCCTTATCAGATAATGATAATGTGGTGATATTTACAAGGGAGTTAGGAAGAATCTGATTCAAACATTAAATATGGGCTTTGTTGGGACAGCTTGCCAAGAAAGTCAATTTTGTGTCAAGATTTGTATTCCTGGAAATTGAAGACAAGCCAATTGTCTTGCCAATGGTGTCTTTTGGAAGTAAACTCCACCAAGTGGATAGTGACATGGGTAGGCAATACCTCCCCAGAGTGACTACAGCCTAATAATGTTCAGAGTTATGGTAAGTCCATCCATCTGCATGGGTGGGGGTGGGGGAGGAGGAAGGAATGAACAGATGATGGGTAGGTCCTATGCTTCAAGAACTGCACTAGGAGCTGCGCATGTATTCTCTTATCTAGTCCTCACAAAAGCACTGCAGGGCAAGTAGTATCAACCCCACAATTCATTCATTCATTCATTCATTAAAAACCTGTATTCGTCACCCAGCTACCTGACCTTCTGTCCTTTTCAGAGAGCTGCAAAAAATCAGAGTTAGTGAAGTGAACATACGCAAGGGGAATAACTAGAGAGAAAGCCTGAGAAGAGTGGTAATCAGAGAGGGGATCCTATGAATTTGGACTCTACCCTGAAGGCTTGCGGGAATCATCATAGTATCTTTAAATACATTTATTAAGAATAATGTATACACCAAAAAGATTTACAAATTGTTGAGTGTTAAACTCATCAAGTTTTCTCAAAGTAAACAACCCACGTAACTAATTCCCAGCCAGGCAAGAAATGGAATATCACCATTTCGTAAGTTCCCTTTCTACCCCCACCTAGTCAGTACTTCACCCTCCTCTCCTCCTTACATGTAACCACAAGCTGCATTCCAACATCATAGAGTATTTTGAGTTTTATATACACATAGATTGTAGAGAATGATCTCTTATGGGACTTGGTTCAGTGTTATAGTCATGAGATTCATGAATCATGTGGTTATACCACCTTCTTGCTCATCTGTTTTTGTTGTACAACATTGTATTGTATGAATATGCCACAATTTAATTATCCGTTCTACTGTTGATGGGCATTTGGGGTTTTTGCTATAATAAACAATGCTTTATTCCAGTATTTTAAGCTGTTGACTACAATAATTAGTTTGGTGTTGCAGAGAGCTCACTCTGGCTCCAGAATGCAGTGGAAGGGAAGGGCTCTCGAGGAGACAGTTACCGTGGGAGAGCCCGAACCATGGCAGCTGAAGTGGGCACGGAGAGAGAGACGTGGAAATGAGAAGGACTGGGGCTGTTGGGGAGAAGGAGATGAAAACC